CGGTGTCATTGTGTGTGTTTTGTGAGTCTGAAGAGGATTATAGACTGATATCGGACATATGGGCTAATTTTGGACTTAGGGACTTGATCTGGACTGGGATGTTTTCTCGATACTCAACTGCTCTTGTATATAAACCTCGTTCTTAGACATGTGTGTGGTCCCTGACTTTGTTTCTCTGTCTACCTGGACTAACACAGCGTGTCTGCATCAGGTTGTGCTTCTGTGTTGGCTTGTGTGGTCATTGGTGTGTGCAGGGGTATGGGTGCGAGCTCGCTTGGACATTGAGGGGGTGACAGGTGCTTTCGCCCCGGGGCCCCCCCGACCATCCTCTGTGAGTGAGAGCTTTTCAGAGTTCATCTTTTCAGAGTTGAATGGCCCAATGTGGTCGGAAGGGAGGGGAGAGAGCGAAGGTGAGGCAGTGCCTGGAAAGCGGGGTGTGGGGAGGTCTCTAGCAGGAAGGGGCTGGTCTCATGGGTTCCAGGTGAGAGTGAATTCACATGCACAGTAAAGAACAGGGGCAAGTTGGGCATTCTTCACCCAGGGCCTTCCTGTATTTCCGTGTCCATCGTGCTCAGCCTAAAACGTGCCCCATAGCCCCCAGGCCCTGCTGGCCTGGCCCAGCCCCTCCGCTCTCCTTAGCCAGCCGTTCTGACCACACGGGCCTTCTCCACTCGGGTCTTAGACATCCTAGGCTTGCAGCAGCTTCGGCCACCCTTCCAGAAGTCCTGGGGTGGGGAGAATCCCTGAAGGCGCTTGCTTGGCTGTTGACCAGAAAGTTGGTGGTTCCAGGGCACCCTTTCACCAAAAATCAGCCAGAGAGAGCTCTGTGGAGCACAGGGTCAGTTCGGTAGCAGCCATGCTGTACTTCGCGCCCTCTGCTCCCTGGCAGCGGAGGACCATTGATAGTGTCCCCTGTTGGAGCTCCAAGGCCACACAGAGCCTGGCACACTGCAGAGGCTGAGTCAGTACTGACCGAATAAATGGCCTTCGGAAACCTGTGACCCTGAATGCCCTTAGCCCGGGAAACCACAGTCTCCACTACTCCCTACTGCCCACCACCGGCTTCAGCATAACTTTATCTGCTTCTGAGGAAGTTGGCCTTTGATGAGTGTCTGCAGGCCGTGGACAGCCTGTGGGGAGTGTTTGCAGTCGTGGATGACCTGTGGGGAGTCTCTGCAGGCCGTGGACAGCCTGTGGGGAGTGCCTGCAGGCCACCCCACAGCTTCCCAGGTGAGCTCAGGTCTTTGCTCCTGACAGTGGGCCGAGCCTTGGAGGGTGTGTAACTTCTCTGGTAGGATCTGTGAGCTGTGCCATCTCCCCTGCCACCCCCCCGCAGCCCCCCAGTTGGGCTGAGTGCACCATGATACCCCAGGGGGTTCAGTAGCCTCCAGGGGGTGCCCAGCAGCACTGTGGGTCCCCAGTGGGGCATCCCAGGAGGCCTTTTCCAAAGTGTGTGTGTGTGTTACCTTGGGGGTCAACCTCCTTGGCCATTTTAAGGGCGTCCGAGTTGGCCAGGTCCATGTTGGCGGGGGTGACGGCGAGGATCAGGGTGCTTTCCCGGCTGATGAACTGCAGGATCATGTCCCTGATCTGGTACTCAATGTCCGGAGGCTGGTCCCCCACGGGCACCTTGGTGATGCCCGGAAGGTCGATGAGGGTGAGGTTAAGCACTGGGAGGGCGGGAGGGAGAGGGGAAGGCCGTCAGAAGCGGGCCCACTGAGGTCTGCGCAGTCCCCTAACAGTGTGCTTGCTCCCCCCGGCCCCCTTCCTCTCTCTGGTCTTCCAGACGGGGCACTCCAGGGCTCCCTGCCTCCGTCCCCGTCCCCCAGACTCCCCTGGGGCCAGGCTGGATCCATCACGCTCCAGTGAGCACAGAAATCAGGACATTTGCCGTGCTGACTAGAATCAACCTGAAGGCTTCACTCAACTCCACCGGGAAGCATTAGGGACAAAAAGGTCATGTTCAGCTGTCTTGGAGCTCTGTTCACACAGCTTTCCAGTAAAAGGT